GTCTCATTTTGAATAGAAGAAGGAATAGAAGACGACGTTGTGTCTTTGTGTCCTCCGTTACTAGTACACTATACACTTGTGGGCCTTTTTTGAGGGACATAGGGGTATAGGGGGTACTGTAGGCAATTTTTTTTTGCTTTATGAAATATATTTTAGGTGTCAGGTTTCTTGAGAAAAGGTGTTAGTTTACATTCTGACACATATTCAGATTTTTTTTCGTTTTGGGGGCGGAGCCTGGGGTCATGGTCCGGGAAATTTTTTTTTGGTTTTCTCAAATCATTTTTTGATAAAAAATTAGTTTTCGCCGGAAAATCTTTAGAGAAAACGAAAAAAAAATTATGGTCATAGAAGACCGGGCTCGTGTAGTCTGCTCGGACGTTTTTTTTCGAAAAAATTTGATTTTCGATGTTTTCGCTATGTTTTTTCCGTTTTTCATCCATTTTTCGTCGAAATAACTAGATGAAAAAATCTCGAGAAAAATATTTATTTCGGTTATTTCGTCCCGAAAAAAATCGGAGAAAAAATTTTCGGCCGTGTAGTCTGCGTGGACGATTTTTCGAAAAAAAAGTTTTTTTCAAAAAATTTTTAATGCTGATTTTTATCGGTTTTTCATCCTTTTTTCATCTGAAAAACTCGATGAAAAAATCTGGAAAAGTCGTATTTTTCGGTTTTTTCGTTTCGAAAAAATTCCGGAAAAAAATTTTCTCGTGTAGTCTGCGTGGACGATTTTTCAAAAAAAAATTTTTTTTCAAAAAATTTTTCAATGCAAACTTTCTACCGGTTTTTCATCCGTTTTCCTCAACATAACTGGATGGAAAAATATCGAAAAAGTCTACTTTTGCGGATTTTTCGTCCAAAAAAAAAGAAAAAAAAATATTCTCGTGTAGTCTGCGTGGACAACTTTTTCAAGAAAATTTTAATTTCGATATTTTTGCTTTGGTTTCACCGGTTTTTTTCATCCATTTTTCATCAAATAAATTTTTGAAAAAACTTTATTTTTTCGGTTTTTTCCCGTACTAAAAAATCCGAAAAAAAATTTCTTTCGGTATTTTTGTTCCAAAAAAATATTCCGAAAAAAATTTTCCGGAATTTTCGTTCCAGGAAAATTCCGAAAAGTTTCGGAATTTCCCGAAAAAATGTCCTTGGGGCGGAGCCTAAAGGTCCCAGGACCCTCTGAATCGTTCCTCCTCAAGTTTCTAAGATTGCCCTCTTCTCCCCAATTGGGGATAACTTGGCGGGTGGTCTGTTTAGGTTTTGTTTAGACTTTTCTCTCTCTCTCTCTCTCTCTCTCTCTCTCT